TCTCTAACAATGGCAAAAGCAGCAGAAAGCCAAAAACATACATAGTGGACGCATACACAAGCTCATCGCTTTGTTAGAACAAGTATTCGAACGCCAGCCATGCCGTTACGCCCACAACAGTTTGTTGGTGGCGCTGCTGTTGATGCTGACGGTTGCGCCAACAACACAGGCAACGACACGAATTGGCAATTTGTTAAAATTTTATTGCAGAAAATGTGAAAAYGCGCATCACCACAGCTTAGCATACTGCCACACATGCGCACATTCATATATATGTATAAGTATATGTATATAGATACACTTAGATACTGAAGCGCGCGTCTGAGCGAAGATCCGAAAGCGCGTTTTCATTTAACCACCAACGCAAACAACGCGATTGAAGCGCTGCGTTCTTGTTATGCTCTAGCAACATGTTGCTACAGAGTATAATAATTTTGTTCACTTAACGCTTGTKTGTATCCGCTAAAACTAAACGAAACGGATATAGGATTATATATATACATATATATAAATGGTCGACTACCTTCCCAAAACGCTTACGGAAATGTAAAGGTTTTGAACTTGGCTAAATGTAAAAAGGTTGTGTACTTGGCAAAATGTAAACAAATGKGTCACTGACCCTAGGAAAATGTAAATAATAAGAACAATGACCTCATAATGTACACAAGGAGTTCACTGACCTCATAAAATGTAAAGAAAATTGTCAGTAAACCCAAACATTAACAAAGGTTGTTGACTTTGCTAAAAGCAAAAAATCTTGGCCTTCGCTAAATGTAAACAAACGGGTTATCGACCTATAAAAGGTATACAAATTGGTCATTGACCTCGGAAAAATGTAAACAATAAGGTCATTGCCCTCGCAATGCAAGCAAAAGGGTCATTGACCCCAAAAAATTTAAACAAAAGGGTCAGTGAATTTAAATGTCATGAAAGGTTGTGGACTTGGCTAATTGTAAACAAATCGGTCATTGAACTATAAAAAGTAAACAAATTGGTCATTGACCTCGGAAAAATGTAAACAAAAGGGCCA